AGGGGAAAAGGAATTCAATACAGGTCACCAAGCAAGAGAGTGGCCTGGGGTCTGACTGAGGGTCACAGGCAGGACAGGGGGTTCCTCAAGACTGCTGAGCTCCAGTGCCACCAAGTTGGAGTCATAGATATTTATGAAGCACTGACTGGGGCCCCATACCCGTCTGTGGAAACTAGTTCCCTGGGGGCCTGGGGCAGGCCATGGCTCATTGGCCCCAACTGGCTTGGATTCCAGTATTGGGGTACCAAGGAGGGCTCCGGAGCTAGGGGAGAGGAGCCCCACCCTCACCCCCAGATCAAGCCAACCACCTTCAGGGGCTCCCTCTCTCCAGGTTCAACCCAGACGAACAACCTCCAAGAAGCCTTCATGTCCTGCCCCTGGCTGCTCCTGACCTCCTGTTCTTCGTCCCTGCATGTCACCACTGCCTGGGCTCCTTATCTTGTGGTCTGGAATCATCACCTGAATCCCCACAGAATGAAGCTTCCCTGGGGTCCTTCACTGATGCAGAGGAGTTCTCCAGGGAGGGAACTAGTCAGGGCAAAGGAAAGAATTTTCTGCCTGTGGGCCTCTTGCCAGAAGGCCACTGACGTCCCAGACACTGAGCCCTTGGTACAGATAAAATTCTCCTTTCCCCCAGATGGGCCTCGCCTGTCTTCCTCCTGCGTGTGCTCTTGCCCGAGCCGGCGGCCCCTGTCTGCCCTCCGGCCCTCTCACCCCGGCCTTGCCGGGAGAACACGGCTCCAGTTCCTCCCTGTCACCGTGCCAGGCTGCAGGAGGGGTCCTCGGGGCTCCCTGCCCACCGCGGCTTTCTGTCCGGTCTCTGTGGTGAGAACCTGGACTGTGGGCTCGCGGGGCCTCCCCCAGGATGGAGTCCCAGAGAAGAGCTACTGCTCTCCTGCAGGCAGCGCACGGCCACGTGTGGACGCGCTCACCGAACCGCTGCAGAAGGAAGGAGAAAAGTGGGGAGGTGTGGGCCCAGGGAGGACAGGGCAGTGGCCCAAGGTCATCCGGCTGGGGAAGTGTCACATCCAGTGCGAGGAGGTGGGAGGGCCCACTCCGGGGCCCGTGCGAGACAGGGTGTGTGGTCACCGGGGACTGCGGGGGCGTGAGCCCACTGGAAGAGCGCGCGGGGGTCTGCAGGCAGGCGGGGCTCTGTCCTCTCTCCCAGGGCTCCTACCGTGACCCACCCCCACCCCTCTCCCCCAGGCCCCAGGTCACAGTGGGCTGAAGGAGCCCAAGAATGCCAGGCAGGGACTTTCAAACACACATCTCCACACGGTGGCACTCAAAGAGATCAAAATGCATTTAATGTGGTCTAGTCTCGTGGCCTATGTCTTTAGATACCGCTATGTATTGAAAATAACATGAAAATTCTCCAGTTTCACCATTTAAAATAGATTTGACATTCTATGACCTCACGCAGGGCAGACACCCCTGTGAAGGGGCCTCCTTCCCATCAGGCCCCCGCTCCCGCCCCCCGGTCCCCGCTGGGACCCTCGGGCAGGTGGGGACCGGGGGGCACAGCACCAGCAGGGCACGGGGGGGTGGCCACCATGTCCCAAGCAGCATGCGCAGGCGCGCACGTGGACACACCGCTTCCACGGACATTCGTGTGCACACACCCCTGGGACCTGCACACGCTCACACGTGCCCATACAGACTGCCCCCAGCAGACAGGAACCAGCCCTGCTCACAGAGCCCGGCACCACTACCACACAAATGTACCACACGCACCTGCGTGTTCACGGGGACACACGCACCCATGCAGACGCCATCCGCATGCAAGCGCTCACCCACACATACCTTGTGCCCACGTGCACAAAAGCCTCACGCCGGCACACACGTTCCACGCATTCCCGTGTGGACATAATCAGGGCAGAGGGCCGGCAGGACTGCTGGGTTCGGCTGTGCCAATGGCCACAGCCAGTGTCCGTCCTGAGCGCTGTGTGCCCAGCCTTACAGCCTGGCAAACATTACACCAATGCCCGCATATGAAACACACACTCACACACGTGCGCCTTTGGGCAAAAATACATAGAACTACGTGTGTGTGTATATACACACGTACATACCACGTATATATATCATCAGCCCAGACTCACACACATAGGGAGCTCATCGTGGGGCATACATCTGTACAACAGTCCCACGAGCTGGGAATCCACACGCTTGTGCACTCAGGCAAAGCCGTAATTGCACACATTTGCTTGAACAGAGATAAGATGATTGCACATGTGAATCCACACACTTGGTGCTCACACACTCACACACACACACCCCCAGCATGGCCCCTTTCCCACATAAGCAGCTCAGTGTCTCAGGGAGGAGGGCCCCAGAGGCCACGGTCTTGGCCCACTCCAACCTCCACACCTCCTGGTTCAGGCTTTCAAGAAACTTCTTGGAAATCCCAGTGCCTGGGAAGGCGAGGGTGGGAGTAGATGGGTACATACACCCGCACACGCACGCACACACATGGGCAACCCCCCCCCCCAAATCCGGCACACACTCCCCAGGGACAACAGAATCCTTGGTCTGCACACACACGGCTCCTCCCATCCACCCTCCCGTTTCAAGTGCACTAAAGAGGGAGACTATTTTGGTCTTTAGCACAAGCAATAAATAAATAAATAAATACAGGGAAGGAAAAAAAGAGGGCAGAAGAGTTTGAAAACGCAGCATCTGCCTTTGGCGAGAGATGAAAGGCAGCTCAGGGTGCTCTCCCGCAGGGTCTGGGGCTGAAACATCCAGCGCGGGCCTGGGGGGCGCACAGGCCTGAGAGGAGGTGCACCAAGCCACCGAGGTGGCATGGGCCTTGGGGGACCCAGAGTCCCTGGGCTCTGCTCTGGATGCTGGCAGTGGAACCCTGGCCCACTCAGCTCTGGAAGGATCTCCGGCCGCCGGGCAGAGCGGAACACAGGCCCCTATGCCAGCCTCAGGTCACTGGGGCCGCCTCATCCCTCCCTGGCTCAGCCTGACAATCCGGGTGGGGGTGGGCAGGTCAGCCCTCCCACATCAATGCTACCCTTGCCCCCCCAGAGCTAAAACGGAGAGAGCCAACCAGGCTGAGGACTGAAAGGCAGGCCCTGGGCTGGGAAGGAGCTGAGGCCCCTCCAGCAGATCCTGAGACGAAAGAGCTGCTTCCACTGTCCGAACCATCCCAGCCAGAACTGAGGCTGGGGCAGGATGCTGGCAGTCAGACATCCCTCGGAGCATGGACCCACAGTGTTTACAGGTATGAGAGCTCATGCCCAGACCCTCCAAGGCCTCTGACCTCAGGCCAGGTCTCCAGCTGCCCTGGGGGTTGGTGGAGGAGGAGGGGAGAGGCAAGAGCCCCCACCCCAGGTCCCTGGCCTCTCCCAGCCTCCCAAGACCCACCCACCCCCTGCGTGACCTTGCCCTCTGCCTCAGTTTCCCCACTTGGGCCAGAGTCCTGCGTGCCAAGTTGTCTTGGAGGGCACGGCTTGGAGTGGCCTAGGCCAGCAGGCTGGGGAAACATGTATGGGCTTTCTAATTAAGGACTTCCTTACAGGCTCGGTCATTTGAGAGGACAAAATTCTTAGCTGTCCTGGGAAGGGCCTGGCCAGCTCCATCCCCGCCAGCTGCATCCTCTGCCAAGAACAAGCCCACGTTGGGCAGCTCGTGGTCCAGGGGCCTGCTTCCGGGCCGGCAGAGCCAACAGCTCCAACCTTCTTCCTGATGAGGGTGCCTGGATGCAAGTGCCACTCGCAGTCATCTCGGCTGACAAGTGCACACCTCTTCTAAGATCATTCCTCTGCCATTCAGCTGGGGCAGCCCGGCTGGGACCCACCTGCACTCACCTGTGCTGCCCCGGGTGCCGACAGTACCAGGACCGCCTGGCCTCTGAGACACGCAGGCTGGTGAGGACTTCATGGTGGAATCGGGGACAGCTGGGAGGACGGGCGAGTCCGATAAAAACAGAAACAACTGGGGCTGGCCCACCCGGGGTCTCTAAGGCACGACTCACACTGGGGTCCAGTGGGAATGGGGCCGATCTGCTTCCCTGGTTGTCTGGGAACCTGCCCTCCCTTCCCACAGAGCCATCTACTCCAACATTTTCCAAGCGTCCCTCACTGTGGAAGGGGCTATTGGGCAGAAAAGGAGAGACAAGGAAAACAGGAAAATCTGGTGTGTGTGTGGGGGGGGTGGTGAGCGGGCCCTCCACGGCAGGCAGGTCCCATATCCAAGCCCTGAGACGCACCTCTAAGGTACAAAAGTCAAACTCAAAAAGCTCAAACTAGTTTTTTCCCAGCCCCTACCCCCACCTCTATGACTCTGGAAAGCTTTTATTATGATCATTAACATGGTCTTGGTTTCTCTATCACAAACATCATCTAATCTGCCCATGAGCCCCGAGCTTGCGCGCACAGACTGCGCCACCCGGCACACACCCGGCCTTCACAGAGGGGAGGCCCTTCCAGCCTCGGGGAACCTCGTGGAGCCTCCGTCTAACGGCCTGCATCTTGGCAGACCAATGGAATTCTAACTGTCCGTTTTTATAACCCCCACAAATTAAATTTTTTTGTCAATCATGGGTTAATTTTTTTTTTTTTTTTTGTAAACAGTCTTACTCAAGCTAAGGTTGAGAAAGCCAAAACTGGTGTTTCTCCCCAAGTTAAAAACCAGCGAGGTGCGCTGCAGCTGGACAGCCTTCACCCACAGAGGCTGGATGGCTGTCGAGCCACCTCCGGGCAGGCTGCAGTTCTATCCTCAGGCAGAAGCCCCTGGCTCCTGGCCTGGACCCCAAGAGGCCACCTCCCTGCCCCTGCACCTGCTCCGGCCTCTGAGGCCAGGGGCGGTCCACTTTGGCCGCCCACTCTCCCGCCAACCTTACCAGGCCACTGTGAAGAAACATAAAACATCTAAAACGCTACTGAGTCTGCAACCGGGGCACCTGGCCCGTTCTGCTCCAACCCAGGGCCCTCGCGGGACGCCGGGCCTCTCCCTGGCGGGGCGGATGCTGCACCTTGGCCCATGGTGGCTCAGATCTCTGACTCCCGTCTGTAAGGCCGCTGCTCGAGGCCGCCACCCCCAGCGGCCTGGGGTCTGTCAAAGTCATGCCGGGCCTGGGGGCTGCGGCCATCCTGGCCTCCATCGGCATCGTCCTCCTCATCACGGCTCAGGAAGGCCAGCTCATTCTCGTAACAGAAGGAGTTGGCACTGGGCAGCAGGAATTTGTTCTCCACCAGGTCCTTGGCGCTGCAGCGGGGTGTGGAGGGCACCTCGTAGGTCTTATGGAAGTGGGAGTAGTCGATCTTGTACTGGTTCTTCTCCTCGAAGAGGACAGGCTCGAAGCGGTGGCCCCACAGGATCTCGTTGGCCAGGTAGGAGCTGCGGGCCTGCGTGGTCATAGCCGTGGCCTCCACCATGCCCTCCAGGATGACCACGATCTCGAAGTCATCCGTCTCCAGGTCCTGCCGGCTGATGCCAAACAGCGGGCTGGCCTCGTCGATCTCATGCAGGATGGTGATGGGGGACACGAGGAAGATGCGGTCAAGGCCCTTGTCAAAGCCGACGTCGATGTCGATCTGGTCCAGCGGGATGTACTCGCCCTCCTCAGTGACCCGCGGCTTGATGAGCTGGGCCCGCACGTGGGCCTCCACGATGTGGCTCTTGCGCAGGTTGCCCACGCGCCACATGAGGCAGAGCTTGCCATCGCGCAGCGCCACCACGGCATTGTGACTGAACAGCAGGGTCTGCGCCCGCTTCTTGGGCCGAGCCATCTTGGCCATGATGGCACCAATCATGAAGGAGTCGATGATGCAGCCCACGATGGACTGCGCCACCACCATGAAGACAGCCACCGGGCACTCCTCCGTCACGCAGCGCAGCCCATAGCCGATGGTGGTCTGCGTCTCGATGGAGAAGAGGAAGGCTGCCATGAAGCCGTGCACCTGCATCACGCAGGGCGTGCGGCCGCGGCCCTCGGCCGGCTCCAGGTCGCCGTGGGCCACGGCGATGACCCAGAAGATGACACCGAACAGGAGCCAGGAGGCGAGGAAGGCCAGCGAGAAGATGAGCAGCATGTAGCGCCAGCGGATGTCCACGCAGGTGGTGAACATGTCAGCCAGGTAGCGCTGCGACTTTTCATCCATGTTGGCGAACTCGATGTTGCACTGGCCATTCTTCTTGACAAAGCGGTTTCGGCACCGGCGCCGCGTGTGCACCTTGCCGTTGCCGAAGCCGTTGGCGCCTGACATGGTGACCAGGTGCAGCCCGTCCTCCTCCGATGACACGATACTGTAGGGGTTGGCCCTGCCGGCCGAGCTCATCCCGGGGATGGGGGGGCCCTGGCTCGCCCCTGGGCCGGCTCCGCGGGGGGCGGCTCCTGCAACAGAGAAGACAGGGGCTGGCGGAGCAGGCCACCCCCCCGGCCCAGGCTTCTGCCCCGACCCAGGGCCCTGGGACGTGGCCGGCGGCCGCCTGCACCCTAACTCACCCCCAACTGAGCTCTCCATCTTCCCTCCTCAGCCAGCTCCTCACCCTCCTTCATGGCTTGGAAAACTGACACTCGATCCTCCCGGGAGATCGGGCCAAAAACCTTGGATTCATCCTCAACCCATCTCAGCCCTACCCCAAAGCCTCTGCTTCCGAAGTGTATGTAGGATCCTACCTCTTCTCCCACCCTCATGGCCTGAGTCCCCATCATCACCCCCCTGGACCAGCATGGTGGCCGCCTCGCCAACCTCCGTGCTCCTGCCCCCACCCCAGTCCAGAGGCAGCCAGGGGGAGCCTGTCCATCCTCTGCTCAAAGCCAGTCTCTGCTGGCACCTGCGAGGCCTGCGTGAGTGGAGTCCGGGGCCCCTCGGATGTCACCTCCAGGCTCCTCCTCGCTCGCCCCGCTGCAGCTCCCAGCCTCCGCACCGTTCCTCAGGCCTGTCCTGCACACTCTCCACCCGGACAGCCTCCCACTGCCTCAGCTCCTTCAGTCCTTGGCCTCCGTGCCACAGGAGCATCTTCCTGCACCCATGGGAGACTGTAACCCCTCACCCAGGTCGTCACTACAACCCCAAAGCACCGACTTCTGACCTAACAATGTGGTAATAGTAACGGGAAGGCCATGCACGGGGTTGCGCTCACCCGCCGTTCCCACCATGAGACCACTGGTCACCAGAGCGTTGTTGAGTTTGCTGTTTGGTTCACTGCTGTCTCACCCCCAGGGCCTCGAACAGAGCCTGGCCCCGAAGACACCCTCCTGATGCTCAAGTGCTCTGCCCCAAGGCACCCACTCTCAGCACCCGTACACCACGCCCCATGCGTCCCCATCTTTGGCTAGGAGGGGGTCCACAAGTCAGTGCCCAGAGGGGTCACTGACTGACCCCAGCCCAGGGGCCTCCCCCTCGCTGCCTTTCTCACCTCTTAATGACAGCACGTAGGGGGCACTCAGAAGCGTCTCCGTCCTTGGCCCAGCCAGGGGAGCACTTGGTTGGCTTGGCGTGCACCCGCACACATGCACTCACACACACCAAGCAGTCTCAGGCATGCCCCACGGCCGGACAAACACTGGTCTCCTGGCCCGTAGCACAGGTTCAGCCCGCAGACAGGCCGGCAGCTGCCCCTCCCCCAATGCCCTGCTGGCTCCGGCCTGGCCTGTTGGTGCCAGGCTGAGGCATCTACAGGCCAGAGGCCATGGTGCCGCCTGGCCCTGTGGGCACTGAGGCCATCTGGCCATTTGCATCAGGGCTGCAAGCGCTCAGGCCCTCAGCCTGGCTCGGCGGGGCTGGGCTGGAAGGAGGGGGAGAACCCCCGGCTGGCTGGCCTGGCCAGGGCGCTGAGGAGTTGGGCATATTCCTCCCCACCAATGGGGACCCCATCCCCCCTTAATCCCCACCTGGTCACACTAGGAGGCCAGTGTTAGACGAGGCTGGGAGCCCTTGAGTGCCCAGAAGACAATGAGGCCCCAGGTAAGAACGTTCCAGGGCAGCCGGGACAGAGGCAGAGAGGCAGGTGACTGGGCACCCACCAGAGACCCAGAAACTGGAATTGACACAGCCAGGAGGAGGCAACACTGGGATTTAGCCCCGGTCTGTGTGACCAGGTGCAGCCAGAGCCTCGGAGGGAGCATGACATCTGACCTCTGCTTCAAACACCTGGGAGACAGGTGCAGGAGAAGTCCACATGACCAGCCAGGCTGCAAACCCCTCCTAGGGTCTGTCTCCGTTGCCAGGTGCTTCTGGATCCCCGGACCTGGCACGTATATAACATTCATGGCTCTTCCTGCCCACTCCTCAAAGTGCAGAGAGAGCAGGCCACACATATCAGCAAACGGCCTTAGATTATCCTCTCAAAACCCCAAGAAAGTGTGTACTCTCATTACTTCTACTATGAATGGAGATTCAGAGAGGTTAAGTGACTTCCCCAAAGCCACAAAGCCAATAAGCAGGAGAGCTGAAATTCGAACCAGTTTGTCTAATGCGAGGTCTCCTGCCTTGGGGACTTCAGACTCTGCGGGGGCCTCTTTTCACACTGCCACCCTCCCCCCACTGCTACTTCAGCTGACCGCCTCACCATGGGTCTGGGGTGCTGAAGCCTGGGGCTGTAATGGTGGACGCTGCTTCCGCCCAAGCCAGGAGGCAGGGAGCCGGAGGTTGTGGGGACCCCGAGTACTGCGCCGAGAAGATGGCTCAGCCCCAGATTCCTGGACCCTCCAGGCAGAGGTGGCCAGGGCCCAGGTACTTAGATGCCGGCGGGAGGCCACCGGACTGCTAGAGGGCGGGTTTATGTGGCCCAGAGGCCTTGAGGGACGTCCAGCGGGTCATGGCTGCTCCCACTGGGGCTCTGAGCAGCTCGAGGCCTGCAAGGGACAGAATCGGAAGAAGCAAAGGCCGGAGAGCCCAGCCTGGCACGCTGCTCCCATCAGCTGGGGGGCCTCGCACCTGGCCAGCTCCCAGGCCGGTAAGGGAGCTACAGTGACTCCTGGCGTGTCTGCCTGGGCTGGGCACCTGGGACCCGCCCGGACTGCGTCACATAGGCTTGGGAAACCCCTCTTCTGTTGATGTTCCTCCCCAAACCACACAGAGAAAATCAACAACGTCACATTCACACCTTGCTCCCCTGTTTCTCAGCTAGAAACTGAGAGTATGAGCAGAGTCCCCGTCCAAAGTGACCCAGAAACTAAGGATTAGAGATAGAGTCGGAGCTCCACGTATCAGTGCAGTCCTCAGCTTCCTGTGGCTCCATTCTGCCCTGTGTGTACACGTGTGTGTGTGCGTGTGTGATGTCGGGGCTGTGGGGAGCCTCTCCCAGGCTCTTGGTGAATGCATCACCACAAAGAAAGATCCAGAAGAGGACCCATGGGTAGAAACCCCGGCACCACAAACTTGCCAAACATCCCAAGGACACTCCATGGACACAAACAGGTGTGGAAAGAAGGTCATGCAGCTCTGGAGTCTCTAAAGACTCGATTTAAGAAATGTGGGACAGTGTCCTCAACAGGGGTATGCAGGCCTGTTTGACTCTTGCTCAGTGGATGCATATAGTTAGATCAGATAAGAAATGCTATAGATTTGTTTTGCTAGAAGAGCCCTCAGCAAGTAAGGAGGCCGGCTCCCCATTTCATAGATTTGAGACTTGTCCCAGGTCACAAAGTAACTCGTGGGCTTCGATGAGACCGTAAAGACAACAGCTGGTACCACTGTTGGCAGATGCCCAGGTCGGCCAGTGGGGATCCCAGGTGTTGCCTGGAGGGGATCGGGAGAGAGGCCCCGGGGTGCGCTACCTGAGCTAGACGAGGTGACTTCGACACTGAAGGTGGGGAGCGAAGCAAGTCCAGCAGACAGAGAAGGGGTGGTGGAGAGCCCAGACCCACACACCTCCGAGAGATGGAGAAGCCGTCCCCAGCCCTGCTGCCTCTTGAGCCCACTTCCCTGCCGGCCACAGTTCTGTGGACACGGACAGACTCCAGGCCACCAGGGCGTTCAGGGCACGGCAGGACCTGGTCTGGGAGCTTTTAGAGAGGCAGCTACCACATGACCCAAAGTGGGGCCCAAAAGTCACCGGGAGGTGCCTCCGGATGGAGCAGGACACCGCATGCCCCGTCCCCTGAGGCTCTGGGCACCTCAGGTTTCGGTGACATCCGGGAGGGAAAGAGGGCAAGGCGGGGGCCCTCAGTCTCAGATGTCAAGAAAGCACTAACTACAAGAGCGGGAGGGGCTCAAGCCCCCTCCCCGGCTCCCCCCGCCCCCCCCGGGCCTTTCTGCCCACCAGAGTGCCTTCGGAGTCAGGAGCGCACTGATCAATCCCTGCTGTGTGCTCACTCCATGCCCAGCCGGGGTCTAAGAGCTCCAACGGTCTCGCTGAATCCCTTCAGCAACCTTATGACTATTATCCCCATTTTCCAGATGAGGAAACTGAAGCTCCAGAAGACTGAGTCACTGGCCCAGGGTCACACGGCCACTAAGCAGCAAGTTCCCAGTGTAGAGGGTGGGAGAGAAACCGACCCCCACCACCCCCAGGCCCCAGGGCCACATCGCAGGCCTGACACTGAGTGTCCGTCTCAGTCCCTCAGGCCCTGGCAGCACCGCGTGGCGATAAGACAGCCAGCCAGCCAGGGTGGGGGCTGTCGAACATGCTGGCGCCCTGCAGGCCCGAGAGGAGGCCAAGACTTGGCGTGGAGGGGAGATGGAGGGCTGGGGGCACTATTTCCATTCTCACAATGGGGAAGAAGATGACAATCCCCTTGGCCCCTTCCAGGCCAAATTCCCTTCCCCTCACCAGTGTGCAGACCCCCTTTGCCCATGCGCACACCATGGCCTGCACACAGTCGGGGTCAACACAGTGCAGGTTTTCTGTGCCAAGCCCATGCTGGGCGCGAGGAGAGAAACAGCCAGGAGACAGTAGTAGGACGCCGCCGATGTGCCCCCGGCCCTCCCCACCTCAGGGCCCGCCTGCTCCATTTCCAGCCACGAGCCCTAGTCTCTTTGCCCCAAAGCTCTCTCCGGCCGCCGGCGCGCACTCAGCTCACCCAGCACCCAGGCCGGGGAACTAATGCCCCAGAGCAGCCTTCCTCGAGGGGCCGCCCCCCACCCCACCCCCGCCGACAGGCCTGGTCTATGCTGCCTCCCCAGCCCCCCAGACCCGAGCCTCCTCTCCCGGATGTCCTGCAGCGCCATGTGGCGAGTACGGCTCCTCCTTTCTCCCAAACCTCAGCCCTCCGCCTGTCCCCCGTCCCTCCTCCCCCCCCTTCCTTCCCCGTCCTCCCCTCCCCCTCCTCCTGCCCCTCCTCATAGGGCCATTTGGCAACCTGACTGCCTCCCCAGTTGCCTGAGCCAGAAGCCTGGTCTGCTCT